CTTTCCTTTCCTTTCCTTTCCTTTCCTTTCCTTTCCTTTCCTTTCCTTTCCTTTCCTTTCCTTTCCTTTCCGCTTTTTTCTTTTCCTTTGCACTTTTTTTTCTTTCTTTCTACTCTTCTTTCTTTTTTTCTTTCTTTCTTTCTTTCTTTTAGTTTGTATTAGTTTTTACTATTGCAATTATAATCTTTAATAACATTATTTTAAAAAAAGAATGGTATATCTATTCCACCTTCCATTAAGCACTTAGAACAGAGATACATATATTATTATAATGTAATATTATTATTATATGTTGATTGGAGTCTGGCAGCATCTACGTCAAATAAAACAAACACACAAACAAATAATTATGTCATGTCCCCATGTACAAGGTTTTAAATGACCAATATAGGACAAAATCAGACATGTACTGCCTCCTGTTGGCAATATAAATAAAAACACCACACTAACTCGAACTCAAACTTCATGGCTAAAACAATTATCCCAGCATTTAGATTTTTTTTTTTAACCCCATCTCCTGTTTTCTGAAACATTTTGTCAGATGAAGAATTTTGAAGTAATCAGAAACTCACAAACTTTTTGGGGCCATTTTGATTAGTCCTAAAGAAAGTTGTTTCTCAGCAATGGATCTGAGTTCTACTCCCCATCCTGCATGGAGCAATACAACTATGATTAATAATCTTCTGAAATAGCAAGATGTGAAATTTGAAGTGGACTATGATATAAAATTTGATGTAAGTTACATAAATAATTAAGAGTGATACCCCAACAATAGCAAATATCACAATTTGTTAAGTTTCAGCATGATTGGCTATTCCATCTGTCAGTCTTCATTTTTCTAAAAACAACAAAGTTGGAAAGTGTCCAGTTGCCATGACTCAACCTCCAGACAATTCTACCTGGATGACTGAGAATCTTCATAAACATGTGTCCAAATACCTTTTTCATGTTCCCTTGATTGTTATTAGTTAGGATGCCAGGAAAACGAGGCTTAACCATATTTCCTCTTCTTTGTAGGAAAGGGGTGGCATTAAGATGGGAATGGAGAGCAATTAACATTGTTTCTCCCTCTGTCTTCAGACTGATAAATGTTTAAATTTTAACCAAGGACTTGAGAAACCAATTCAAAAGAAATAAATTATTATTACTTTTTTCCTCAGAGCCTTTTTTTTTTTAAAAAAAGGAAGAGATACCTGTAAGTGAATACAAGGAGTTGCTTTTATCTTTTGACCATACTTTTCTTGTAAGTGAAAGCTATAGGGCAGAGAGAGGTGCAGAGATTTTATCAGCCTGAAGATTACACCAGATTTTTACAGAGTCAAGGGTCACACTCTACTTTGAAAGGGACCAGAGCTCACTTCTGAAGGGGGTTTCAGGATATTTAAAGAATGAAATGGATGCCTTAAAAATTTGCAACTCTTAGTGTGCTTATTTTGCTGCTTAGAACACTCCAAACCCACCAACATAAATACAAAAGGCCCGCTCTCATGCTAGAGGACTATATAAACAATGCTGGTCCCTGAGGCATACTTTCTGCACCCCTGCTATGGAGAAAAACAGAGAAGTCTACAGTTGGAATTTCTAGGCTTTCAACACTTGGATGAATTAACCTCTAAATTTTGTCTATGGCAAAGTATTGGGTTTACTTTTTTTCACCTGTTATGCTTTTTTTTTAATGAAGCCATTAGTCCTAGACAACATAAATTGACAGTTGCAATAGTGATGTATGAGTATTTTCAAATAACTAGTATGATTTAGTCCTAGTAGAGCTCCACATCCTAGTCTTTTTATGGAAAATACAATTCCTCCCACTGCCCTACTAGAGACTGTTTTTATTGATAATGTGCCAATATCTGTCCTCCAGTTTCCTCAGAAGTTTCTCCCCTGCAAAAAAGCATATATTTTTCCATTTTTTACATGAAGAAGATGATGATGATTTTTGCAGTTTTGCAAGATGATCAAAAGTATTGCTGATTCTTGTTTTGACTGCTATGCATCTCCCTTCATCACTCTGTAGCATCCCTGGCTACCGTTCATATTTCTGATCAGAAAAATTCCAGTGAAATAAAATAATTCAGGATAACTTCCTTTGGAATTTAACTGAAGTTTAGGGAATTTGTGAGACTGTAAAACATTGAAGAAATGACTTTACAGTTAAATAATGGACTTTCCTGCAAATGCTTCAACCATTTGAAGATTAGTCACACAAACCCACATTCTACCCATGAGAATATTTCTGAAATGTTCTTTGGAAAAAAAATCAAAAGACTAAAAAAGAAAGCAGAATAAATTATTGGCACATTACTGTTTTTAAAACCATAACCCATATTACAATCTAAAAAAGTCTAGAGTTCATGCATTATACAGTTTAATGTGTTGCCTTGTTAAACAGAGTATTCTCAACTTCTCTCTCTCCTATATAGGCGATTTAAATAGCTACCAACTTTCACTCATCCTTCCATTTTCTCTCCTTAGCTTTATTTAACAGCTAGTTTTTTGTACTTTTTTTTAAAGAGGTAGGTTCTCTTAGTGCAGCAGTATGACAAATTATATAAAGAAATCTAGAGGTTTTTGGATACCTGAGTAAGGCAAAATTCACAAGTTGCACATATACAGTATGTATGCTTTTTCCTATATGACACTATTTCAGAGGAAATCGCTGAATGAATGAAGCTTGGCATTTATATTCATAGAAATACTGAAAGGACAATGAGAAGCTCCACTGATGTATATTGGAGGGTATACAGTAATAATTTTTTCTCTGTGTGCATCCAAATGATGCTTCCTTTTTAAATAGGTGAACAAAATAATTGCTGCTATGTGCATATAGATAGATCACTCATATTTTTTGGAGAAACGTCATGCAGGAAGAATATACTCAGGAACACTGCAGTTCATGACAGCTTTTTCTCCAGTCCAGTAAACCATGTTAGTTTATGCACAGTAGGTTCACACCAGTCCACTGAATGACATGGAAACAACAATGACCAATGTCATTTGATCTAGTGTACAAGTTTATCAATGCCTGAGAGAAAAGCAGGAAAATAATGCAACTGGATGCATTGGGCTCTCAAAGTATATGTTTATTTCCAACTTCTGGATGAGAATATGTACAGCCATAATCCTTAAAATCATATATTTGTTGTGCTAGATGGCACATTTATAATAGTATTGAAATCATCAGCTTTTGCCTGATGACTACCCTGACAAGTTTCCCAGCTTCTCAGCAATCATTCATAATAATAGTTTTTTTTTTTTTACTATCTTATAATTTTTTTAATAAATGGGTATCTGCTACTGTTTTGGTTCTGATAGTAATTTTATACAGTACACATTTCTTATTTTTGGATGTTTAATAATCTTTTAAAATACATTTCTGAATCAATATGAAACACAATTTAATATTTTTCAGTAAATAAATGTATTTATATGCACTACACACACACTTTCTCTCTCCAAACCATGTCATGACAGGAGACTTTACTGCAGTAAGAAACATATTCAATCATATATGAAATAAATATCACATCATTAAAAGGAGCATCTTTATCATTTTGTCATGTGTAATGCCTGCATCTCATCCAGTATATTTCTGATGGATTCTACACAAACATTTCCTCTGTGATCTTTCAGGCAGGCCTGCCTCCATACTTCATCAAAGCTTTCCTCTGAAAGTTTCACACCAATGTTGTGCAAAATCGCTGCAATCTATGAAATAACGTATACTATTGTTAGTCCCTGGAATTTTCACATGCACACATATATACAAAGTAACCCCTTTTAGGTCTTCCCAGTCCTAGTCCAGCACTATCTCAAAAGTATTCAAAAACTAGAGCCTTCTGGGATCATTTATTTCCAAGCTGATAACCATGGAATAGCTGGGACTCCAAACTGAATGACTAAGGCCAATTGGGTGGGTACACTCCCCAACTCTTGGGAAAGCAAAATCATGCCTTTATTTATTTAGTTACTTATCTATTTGGCCATTCCAAACATGAATGACTCTGAGTGGTGTACATACTAGACACCCATAAACCATATTAAAAACATAAAGATCAAAACATCTCAGTATATATCAACTTAATAAATACTGGGAACATCACTTAATGTACCAAAACCCAAAATCCTATACCAGAGAAAACAATATTACAAAAATCCAATTCCCAAGGCCTTATTAAAAAGATTAGATAAGATTAGCCAACCTCTATCCACCATCCAGAAATGAGTAATTATAGTCAGATTTCCCCTACCCTCTTTCATCAAAAAGAACTTGATGTTCCACCTGCCAATTGACCAGAAGGAAGCAATTTCTAGTTTCTGTTATTGGCTAGAGGTCTAAGAACAACTAAAACCAAGGAAGAACATCTGGGATAAGGAGAAGAAACACCTGGCCCTATCCATCATTTTTCTTTTAGCTCTTCAGTTCTTTTTCCATTTGCATTGTGCTTATTACATTATGAACCTGCACTTGAGGACTGATTTATCTTTTAGTAAGAAAATTTTTGTAAGTGTTAAAACAATTGTACCTAAGATTGGTACTAGAGAAGATAACAATCATACATTTTTAACAGAAATGTCTCCTACTTTCTATGATTTTCCAGCATCTGATTAGACAAACTATACTGCATCTTTGAGATATTCCACAGAAATGTAACTGGAATACAATCTCAGTATTCAAACTTCTAGACTACTGTCCCCTACCTCTTCTTTTGATCTTATCTTGAAGAAGTCTTTCTCATACACTCCTTTATTATTACAGACAGAGGGGTATAACAGTGCATATGCAGTTGCTTGATCTCCATAATTAGTGTTGTCACTGATGCGGCGAAAACGAGGGGCAGGAATATCTGAACGAATGGTTGGAACACCATATAGGGGGTAAACTGTATGAAAACACATTGTAAAAAGAGAGAAGGAGAAAAGCATTATGTTGCAGGTAGGAATAACAGAACTAGATTACACTAAATGAGGATACCCTTTTTTAAAGCTCCTTTTCCAAACCAGGTTTTCTTGAAACTCATTGAAGATAATATAAATATCTGCTCTTATTTTTGTATGCTTCTAAATTTTTTGTTACTACAATGTCTATCTACAATTAGAGGTAGGAACATCTGCAGTGACAGTCAGTGGCTTAAAAATAGCAAGCACATCTATTGCACACACATAAAAAGAAGTGGTGCTTCAATTACTGGGTCAGGCCCATAGTTTTGCAACCAGTAACCATTGCTGCAGACACCTCTGACTAGAGGCACAACTAAAGGAGCAGCAGCAAAAAGACAAGGTTCTCAAAATACACTGATCTTGGTAGAATGAAATCTTGTGGGTAGAACAACCCTACTGCCCAGTTAGGGCACTCCAACATGATCAAGGCTCCTTTGGAAGGAGGAGTATCAGTGACTTTCCTGTTTTTTGTTTTTAGTTAAAAATGTTTTCTCACTGTGATCAAAGTAATTTATACCCGTTCAAAAGGCTGATCTAAGTCAGCAGTGAGGTGAATGATTAGGAAGGTTTTAGATCTAAAACCTCTCCCATCATTCCTGCTGCTTTATCCCTGCCATTCAAGGTGTCAGACTTGGATAGCCTTACAGGCTTATGGGGAGGATAGGTGATTGGTGGGAAGGATATCTTATTTCTATATCTGAAATTAAGGCCCTTGGATTTCCTCCTCCAGAGAGAGAGGAGGTCATAGGATTCTAAGCACTAATGGACATAGGACTGCAGTCTTGATGTTCCTCTGGAATCAGAACTTTCATAGTTCTTAAATTTTGGCTGGATCATGGACTATATTTGCAACCTGCCCCAACACAGATTCATGCTATTAGTATTTCTTTTTCCTGAAAATATATATTTCAAATGTTTGACCAAACTCTACAGTAACATCTAAGTTTTTTATTTTACTTGATGTTTTGAGGATAAATGCATACAACACTTGATCACAAACATACCGTGATTCTTACAGAGAATGTGTCTCAGGAATACTTCAATTGCCAGTCTACAGAGGGCTTAATATGCAGATGGTACAGAGAAATATACATCATGAAGGGCTTCCAGCATTCTCAGTGACAAACCATGATGCCTCAATACACAGATTGGCAACTGCTGTCTTAAAAATCCTTAGAGATGAAAGGTCAAGGTCTCCTTCAACTTATGCTTGACTCCTAGGGACTTCAGGATCAATTAAGTATTGCTACTTGGATGGAAGATCATCAGGAAATCCCAGGCTATAAAATGGGAAGTTGACAAAACATCTCAGAAGAAGGCAATGAAAAACCATTTCCATGTTATTGTCAAGAAAACAAGATGAAATTATCCATGAAATCACCAGGAATCAAGCCTGACTTGAGGGAGTATGTACCTTTAGAAGACTATATAAGTATTGTACAGATGCTATATTCTATATCATAACAACTAAAGAAAGCAAAACACAAACCTTTAGGAAACTTATTAATAAATATGTTAATGACATCTGTAAACATTTATAACTTGGTTGTAAAAGAATATATATCTGCTGTACATACATGATGAAGGAATGCCACCTACAACCGCATTATATTGAGACGAGGTTGTGCGATAATCAGAAAATACACAATCTGTTGGTCTTGACAGTGTTCTAGCTGTTTTTTCTAAACTTCCTGGTTCCATAAGTACAATATCATCTGGCTTTAGCAAAGCATTTTCATCAGCTTTAATTTCTGAATCATTTGGTGGAATAAGATCAGAAGGACCTGGTCTTTTCCCTGCAAACAATGAACGAAAAGAAAATGTTTAAAGTTACTTTCACAGAGTGACACAAAGCTACACAATAGTACAAAAATAGCTTTTGTGAAAGCGGTAGTTTTAGGAAGTCTCTACAATAAAGTCTAAGGGCATAAACAAGACACACTTTTTTAAAAAATGAAGAATGCGGTTATGAACACTTAAAGGTCAGGATCCAATTTCAACAATGTCAGAAGAAGAAAATCGCACTGTTACTTATTTAAATTATTTCAGAAATTTACAAGGCTGCCCAACTCTATAATGATGGGGGGGGGCATACAGTAAAAACAATCATACAGTATAGTAAAACAACAACCAACCATCCAAACACCAGAGGAAAAACAATCATTAAAAGTCAATCAAACATGCCACCCACATTAACCCAAGGCCTGGGAAAGAGCCAGATTTTCAGAGCAGTTTTGAACACGGCCAAAGTGGTAGTCAGGCATGTCTTCCTTGTCAGTTCTCCTCAGGTGGTAGTGAAACACCCCTAAAAGCCAGGGAGCTAGTGCTGCTGTCTTAATGCTCGGGTATCAGTGAATCCCTCCTCCTAGGCGAAGGGAGAGGTAGAATTAGCCAAAGCTGCTTCTTGAGTGGTGACAAAGTAGCTCTACTGTTGTCTTCCCTCTCCTTATCTCAAGAAGGAAGATATGCTCTATTCCAGTATTTCTCAACCTTAGCAACTTTAAGATGTGTGGACTTCAACTCCCAGAATTTCCCAGCCAGCAGCAGAAAAAGAATACTGATCTTATGCTGATAAGTGTCCTCTACAGGCCCCAGAATCATTATGGGGAATTAAACTATCAGTAGTAATTCTTGCCAGCAACAATCTTTTTTTCTGCTATTGCTGAAGGACATTAGTCTCCACAAGTTAATGGAAAGAAAGGAGAGATAGAATGAAAGAGGGCTTTAAAAAGCCTTCCTTAACCTCAGATTCTTCCAGATATGCAGACTACAATTCTTAGCATTCTTCATCCTGGGGGATTTTTGAAGTCCATATAGCCAGGAGATGCCAAAGTTGGGCATGGCCATTTTAGGCCATTGTCAAAAGCTAAAAGTAATAAATCCTAGGCAAGGTCTGCATGCAAGGTCTCAAATTTTACCCAAAAGGGGAAATGGTTATTCTCAATTACTGCAGATTCCAAATCTTCAGTTTACTTTAGGAAATACTCAAGAAACCAGTCCACTGTATTAGTGTCAGATTTAATTATATAAACCATCATTAAAGATTTGTCAGATACCTTTTGTTATTATTTTTTCTTCATACTCCTGAATAGCCATTTTGTCTTTCCAGTTAAGAAAATTTACAAACTCCAGATAGTTTATAAAACCATCTTTATCCAAATCACAGTAATTAAATAAAGAATCCAGAAGTTCATCATCCAAGTCCAAATTAAGCTGAAAGCAGGCCTTTTTCAAGTCTTCTCTGCTTATTTTTCGATCACCATCCTGATTAAATATGATAATATGAATTTTAGAAACAAATTCCTGTGGGCCAATTTCCTGACAAAATTGCTAAGTAATACAAAAAATTATACTGCAGAGATTAAGTGTAATAAATTACAGCAGAGTTTGAAAACATAAATTAAATTAAATTAAGAGGGACATTTGAAATATTTTAGATGAACTAATGACAAAGTAATGTACTTTACCAGGTCGGTGTGAAGGAATACAACAGATTACATAGGAAATGTTTTCTTTCAAACTGGGGCGCAAAATTAGAGTTTAATATGTTTAACATACACAAAACGATTTGAAGGATTGTTGCTTACAAATAACTTTGTTTTTCTGTTTGGATAAATTTAATTCTTTCAACCTTAAAAAGGTAAACAGCTCTTCAAGCTGAGCTCAACTCCTGATGACTTCTTGGCTACCTCTGTGTAATTCTTTTGGCAGTACTACCAAGTAAGTGGTTTGTCACTGCCTTCCTCTGTGAATAATTTTTTCCTTTCTTTTCCCAGCCTAGCCTACAGTCCTGGAATCCATAAAAACCAAAAGACTGCAATTGGTTAAAAACATTGTTTGCATTATGAGTGATACGAACATTCTATGATGTACATTCATATTTTTAAAAAAATTACAAGTCTTTTTAGAGACAAACAATATATTTGAATGTTATATAATAATTAATACGTTTTAAGGCATTCTCATTAAAAAGGAACAGTGTATTTGTTTTACAAAAAACATTGCAGTGTTTGATGTCTTTTTTTTTCATAATCCTCTTCAAAAAGATAATTTTTTTATTGTCTATCTTATTTTCTTTGCTTTCTTTTTCAGGATCAGCTAAGGTCAGCTCTGTGCTGCCACCAGCTGGGGCATTTCTAAATTACAGAATAAGCTCCAAGAATTCTATACTCCCCTCTTACTTTCCTTCAGCGACCATTTGAAGTTGCAATGACACTGAATGAGAGGTACTTATGACTGGTCTTCGAGGTTCCACCACCCTTAAGATCATGTGATTGCAATTCGGGGGTTTGGCAACCAGCTTGTACCTGTGATGGTTGCAGCACCCTGTGGTCATGTGATCACCATTTGCAATCTTCCCTTCTGGCTTCCCACAAACAAAGTCAAATGGGAAGCCGGCAGGGAAGGTTGCAAGTCACTCCAATAAGTCCCCCCGGCCTCCCTTGGTTGGCACGGGCCATGCCCTGCTTCCCCCGGTCTCCCTCCCTGCATCAGGCCTACCACAGCCTCCCCCAACCCCCCATGACACCCTCCCCCACAGCATTCCCGCGCTCCTTACATGGGACTCCCACTGCTTCCTGATTAACGACCTGTGCAACTTGGGGTTATGACGGCAATCAAGACTGCCAGGATTGCTGTTGCTAAGCGATGTGGCCATGTGACATTGTGCTTTACAACCGCATCACTTAGCAACAGCAATCTTGATCTCAATTGCCATCACAACCTGAGGACTACCTGTACGCTGTTTCCCACTGTAGCATAAACTATCAGGCTGCCGGTCCAACTGTGCACATGTGACCTCCATAACAGCATCTAAAGCAATGGTATTCAATGATGCTTCCAGTTATTCTATAATTTGTTTTCACAGACTCCCACAACCCAACAGGTTGGTGCCATTTACATGATAGATAGATAGATAGATAGATAGATAGATAGATAGATAGATAGATAGATAGAT